CATCTCTATTTCCATAATATGTCTTCCATTCTATCAAATGAGACCAAGTAAACTAGAATACAACCATGAATACCATACAAAAATACACCTCAAAGTCGGCATTTTAAACCAAAAACAGGGTCTGAGTTTTTTTTCTCATGCACTGCATGCTGCAGGATTTTTTTTATACTGTGCACACTGACCACGCAGACCCATTCTCTCACATGTAGATCTACCAGCTTTCTCCCACTAGATTAGAAGCTGCTAGAATTTTGGCATATTAATACGGCACCAGCACTGGCTTGTAAGCCGTACTAATACAACACCGACAGTGAAAGGGTTAATTAATATTACTCTTTCTTTCTTTCAACACACCGGCCGTATCCCACCGAGGCGGGGTGGCCCAAAAGGAAAAACGTATGTTTCTCCTTTTACATTTAGTAATATATTTTAGTCTCATTTTAGTCGCCTCTTACAACACGCATGGCTTACAGAGGAAGAATTCTGTTCCAATTCCCCATGGAGATAAGAGGAAATAAACAAGAATAAGAACTAGAAAGAAAATAGACGAAAACCCAGAGGGGTGTGTATATATGTGAGGTGTCTCCTGGTGTACAGTATATATGTGAGGTGTCTCCTGGTGTCGCAAAATTCCCCCCCCCCCCCAAATTATTATGAAATGATAGAGAATCTTTTCCCAATTGTAATGAAACCGAAAGAATGAAATTTGATGAAAAACTGACGGAATTACGCTCTCGCGAAGTTAGCGACCTCGGCAATATTTACGAATCGGCGATTTCGCCCACTTTGAGCCCTATTTTCGGCTAATTTCATTGTTCCAGTCGACCAAACTCATAGCTATTTCTTTAGAACTCCATTTTTTCTATTGATTGAGTACAAGAAACTGCCCATTTACCAATTTCAACTACCCAATAACATGGTCAGAAATTTGCAATTTGGCCAATTTCACAAAAATTAAAAAATATGACAATTTCAAAGTAGGGTCCAGAATGAACAATGCAGACATTTCTGGCTCTAAAATAACATTTTCTTTGTTCATCAGTCATGTCTCCAGGCCCCTCTAATATTACTCTTGCTTTCTATTTTGAATTTTTATTCAAACAACAAATAGAAGATTTACTGTTACACAAACTACTGCAATATTTGTAATAATTGTATAAATAATGTCAACCCATTCATGACTGCATATTAGAATGGCTACTTGGACAGTTATTGGAAAATGACATCATTTGTTTACTTTTGAACATCGGCAAAAATCAAACAGTTCCCCTACTTGATATCCATTTCTTCTTTTCATAGTAAAACCAATCAAAATCACCTCTATTTCTATAATATGTTTTCCATTTTATCAATTGAGACCAAGAAAACGAGAATACAACCATAAATACTATACGAAAATAGACCACAAAGTCAACATTTTAATTAAAAAAAAACGGTCGGAGTTTTTTTTCCCCCATGATGAACTGCGTGCTGCAGGATTTTTTTTTATATGGTGCACACTGACCACACAGACCCATTGTCTCACATGTGGGCCTACCAGCTTTTTCCTGCTTGATTTGAAGCCGCTAGAATTTGAGTATATATACGTCAAAAACGGTGGCTCATAAGACATATATATACATATATATACGACCAAGACAGTCAAAGGGTTAGAGGCCCATTTTTTAGAAGTGTAATGGGGTAGCTGTGGTGCCCTGGTGCCAGTCTGTTATACATCTTGATGGTCTTTCTAGGTTCAGTTTTTAGCACTTCTCCTGCTGTTACCACATCACTAGAACACTGTTGTGTCAACCTCCTCTACATAATATTTTCCACAATGTGGTACAGGTTGACCATCACTGATCCAGCATCATCAGGATCTGTAGGGTGCTGGATTAGTGATTTTGCCAGATTACAGAGTGGTTTGGTTAGAATACACTTAAACCTAACAGGAACATTTATGCATTGGCAATTTCACCCTCTTTACGCCCTATTTTTGACTCATTCCATTGTTTCAGTCTACCAAACGCATGGCTATTTCACTAGTATTCCTTCTATTATATTGATTGAGTACAAGAAACTGCCCATTTACCTATTTCAGCTACCCAATAAAGTGGTCAGAAATTGGTAATTTGGCCTATTTCACACAAATTTCAAGAAATGCCAATTTAAAATAGGGTACAAAATAAACAAAGCAAACATTCCTAGCACTAAAATAACATTCTCTCTATTCATTAGTCATGTCTCCAGCCCCTCTTATATTATGCTTGCTTTCCATTTTGAATTTTTTTCACACAAAAAATAGATTTACTGTTATGCAGATTACTGCATTATTGTAATAATTGTATAAATAATGTCAGCCCATTTGTGACTGCTCATTATACTGGCCAGTTGGATACGTATTGGATGGTGATGTCATTTGTTTGCTCTTGAACATCAGCAAAAATTGAACCTTTCTGCTAATTTGAGCTTAATTTCAAGGTACTTTCTGTCATGAAACCAATAAAAATCATATCTATTTCTGTAATGTATCTTCTATTCTATCCAATGAGACCAAAGAAACGAGAATAGAACCATAAAAACCATACGAAAATACACTGTGAATTCGCTGTTTTACACCAAAAACACAGTCGCAGTTTTTTCTCATGCTCTGCATGCTGCAGGAATTTTTTTTATGTAGTGTACACTTACCACACAGACCTATTCTTTCATATATAGTGCCAAATTTAGCGGTCACAGCTTATGTGAGTGAGGTGAGTCATGGTGACCAACAGTGGCTTCACAGCTACCTTATCTTTTATGGACAATGTACAGTGTATGTGCTTTACACAACAAGAAGCATTTCTTTTATTTGTTGGAACCATAGTTAGGGCTAAAAGTGAGCAGGTTATAGCAATAAAAAAATAAGAAACTGCAATGACTTATGCAGCAAGTAACGCCACCAAACAGTAGCGGCAGGTTGGTGTGGCAACCCCGGAAATTTGAAATTATGCTAGCCAAAATTAGTGCTGGATTACTGATGGAACTGGATTACTGAGTGCCAGATTAGTGATGCAGACCTGTACTTGGTTGGCTTCATTGTCATCCTGAAAAGCCAAAAGTGTACAAACTGATTTTTTTTTTTATGTAATACACTTTGCTCCAACTGATTTCAAATTATAGTGGCAGCTCCATTGCTGTAGCCAGGCTCACTTTTACTTGCATCATTTGTTTGTTAAAATTATTATTTTCCTCTAACACGCTGTAAATCTGTCTATACTGTTCCTAGACTTATCTTGTTGTAGAAATAAAGTAAATTTACTCCAAAATATAATAATAAAAACTTGAGCTTTGACGAGCCCTTAACCTTAAACTGTCCAAACGTAGATCTACGTTTTCACTGCCAGTGCTCCGAATATTTTGATTTTTTTTTTTAAATTAAAGAGGGCAATTTCCCGTGTGTAATAAGACCAAAAAAAAATTTAGGATCAGTACTTATCGAGATATAAGACTGCGAAGTTGACACTGGATGCTCACCTGATGTCACCATGGAGTCTTGCCGCTTGAAGAAGTGTTGCCGATGTACCTTTTTTTCTCACTTTTATTTTAATTTATATAATTTTTATGTTTTGATAATTACAATTTATAATAGTTCTTGTGATTTCAAAGCCCAATCTTTGTTCTGACACACATTAGGTACTGAAATAGTACTCAAATAATCACAAACAATCCGACAGATGAACATTTTCACCTGCCTTGGTCATTTACTATTGTCTAGAAATATATACAGAGTATTTATAGGTCCCAGGAATGTTTTAGACATGCTAGAGTATATATGAAACTCCTTGAAGTGTGGTGTAAGATGAGTGTCACTCCATTGCTGACAGTGCAGCAGTGGAGTGACACTTGATGATCATGCACTGCTCCAGGGAACCCTGGCTTTATTTGTTTTTACTGTTACACATAAACATGTCTGTCTGTCTGTCAGTCTAACCCTGCATGTCTGTCTGTCTGTCAGTCTAGCCCTGCTTATCTGTCTTTCTGTCTGCCTGTGTGTCTTTGCCTTTCTGTCTGCCTGTATGTGTCTGTCTTTCTGTCTGCCTATGTGTGTCTGTCTTTCTGTCTGCCTGTGTGTCTGTGTCTTTCTGGATGCTTGTCTCTGTCTCAGAGAGCAGCTCAAGAACCAATAGGTATTACACATGATGCAGAGTTGTCACATCTGATTCCTGATCAAGTGAAAATGTGTATTACTTGCCAGTCATGCTTGTTATGCCTTATATCTACAGGCACAGTACAGTACAGTATAGCAGAGACAGAGATAGACAGCGTATAGACAGAGATAGAGACAGATACGGACAGAGAGACAGCCAACGTCAGTCAGCCAAACAGCCAGCCAGCCTTCTGAACATGTATTACATGTTCCAGAATCATTTCTCTTTACTTAGGGCATAGGTTATAGGACATTCTGGCAGGATGACACTACCAGTGATATAAAAAATGAAACGATGTTGCACAAATGTTGCGCATGGGTTATTATCATTGTTTTTGATATTCCCTCGACCACTTGCGGCCACATCCATCTCTAAGCCACTAAACTCTGAGTCAGCATCACTTTCCTCTTAAAAGAAGAGTGTTAATACATGACATCAGTGAATCCCTGGCATTTGCCATGCTATTTGCTCTCGCTGGCACTCAGTTGAATTGGTGCTCCTACAAGGTCCTAAGTGGTCCCAGATTCTTTTAATACTGTGCCAACCGAGGATTAAGACCCATTCTGTACTGACCAGGCATCTCAGGCCAATCGTGCCAAATTTGGAGGCAGGAAAAATGAAACACTGATCTACGTTCGGTGCACTAGCGGTAATAACGTAGATCTATGTTTGAACAGTTTAAGGGTTAAAAAAGTAATATGAGATAAACACTGGTTCATAACTACAAATATTTCAGTGGTGATGAGTAACTCATTTGAAATATAACAGTCATTGTTATTTATTGACATGGACCTGTACTGCACATGTTTGATATAGGTGTATGTATCACAGGCTTGATTGCTTCAAGAAAACTTACCGTGTGGAAGGTTACTTTGGCATGTACCGAGGTTCGGGCGTCAACATTCTGCTAATAACACCAGAAAAGGCTATTAAGCTCACTGCCAATGATTTCTTCCGTCACCACTTGACTACAAAAGATGGGCAAGTACTCTCTCTTTTTTTAATACAATACTGATAATTACATTTAGCTTAAAAAACTGAGGAATTGTGTGGCCTTAATTAAGTCTTTTGTACTCATTAATTTGTCATGCTGAAGAGCTATAATTTTACTTGTATTGTTTATTTTTATATAATAATAGGTTGTATAATACATAATTTTTTATTTTATTAACACATTGGCCATTCCCCACCAAGGCAGGGTGGCCCACCAAGGCAGGGTGGCCTGAAAAAGAAAGACTTTCATCATCATTCACTCCATCACTGTCTTGCCAGAGGCGTGCTTACACTACAGTTACAAAACTGCAACACTAATATAATAATTTTATTTACCAAAGTGTATGCTGTTATGAATGGAATTAAAGTGTAAAACAGACAGATCTTGTTAATTCATTATTGTTGTCCATGTGCTCCAGTGACAACAAAAGAGGTCAGTATTTTCTGTTGTCTTAATAATACAGAAAAGAATTCAAGAAGATTGTGTGTAATATTATGTATTAGTTTTAAGTTAGTGTTAATTTGTCTCGAGTGTATTGCATAACTCCGGGGGGGGGGGATTTTCCAATTAGGTCATCACCATTGTACAACATATCTGTCAACCAGAGTTTTCATGGTTTACCTGGAGTTTACCTGGAGAGGGTTTCGGGGGTCAACACTCCCATGGCTCGGTCTGAGACCAGGCCTCATGGTGGATCAGGGTCTGATCAACCAGGCTGTTACTGCTGGCTGCATGCAAACTGATGTTATAAGACCCACAGCCCGGTTGGTCAGGTTACTGACTTTAGGTGCCTGTCCAGTGCCTTCTTAAAGACAGCCAGGGGTAAATAAATATTTTATTTTATTTATGACTGATGTAGCTATAAGCATGGGTATAGTTATAGTTGTGTAAGAGTAAGGAAGCAAGACACAAGATACTGCCTAGTGACCCTATTTATGGCCAGGTCTATGGGCCAGAATTGGGTTGCCACATTTTAGGGAGCTGGTGAAAATGGCCATCTTGCACAGGCAGTGTTGAGAGTGGGTGGCTACTTGAAATAATCAAGGCAGGTGATTAGTCAAGAGCTGGGTAGAGAAATTAACTGTTGGGAACTGTTTCTTCTATTTTGCTAACAGGTAGAGACAGTTGGGCAGAAGGAGTCAGCCACACTGTGATATGGATCTACAGTGGACCCCCGGTTAACGATTTTAATCCGTGCAAGAGGGCTCATCGTTATGCGAAATAATCGTTATGCGAATTAATTTTCCCCATAAGAAATAATGGAAATAAAATTAATCCGTGCAAGACGCCCAAAAGTATGAAAAAAATTTTTTTTTACCACATGAAATGTTAATTTTAATACACACAAACTGAAAAAGGCATGCACAATTACATGACACTTACTTTTATTGAAGATCTGGTGATGATTGATGGGATGGGAGGAGGGGAGAGCATTATCTTCTTACTGTTTAGAAGGGGAATCCCCTTCCATTAGGACTTGAGGTAGCAAGTCCTTTTCTGGGGTTACTTCCCTTCTTCTTTTAATGCCACTAGGACCAGCTTCAGAGTCACTGGACCTCTGTCGCACAACAAATCTGTCCATAGAGCTCTGTACCTCCCGTTTCTTCAAGACTTTCCTAAAATGGGCCATAACATTGTCATTGAAATAGTCACCAGCACGGCTTGCAACAGCTGTGTCAGGGTGATTTTCATCTATAAAGGTTTGCAGTTCAAACCACTCTGCACACATTTCCTTAATCTTTGAAGTAGGCACAATGGATTCCACAACTGGCATAGGCTTCTCAGGGTTAGCCCCAAACCCTTCAAAATCTTTCTTAATTTCCATACTAATTCTCACCCTTTTTACCACAGGGTTGGCACTAGAAGCTTTCTTGGGGCCCATGGTCACTTATTTTCCAGAAACACCACCGAAAACACTGTAATAATACGAAATATTCCGAGTGTATGCTTGGATGTTACCGCGGAGGCTGGCTGGTAAACAATGGGACGGCCGGCACATGTGAGGGCACATTGGACGCGTCTCGGACGAAAATCGGTATGCGGGTTTTTAATCGGTATGCGGGGCAAAAATTTTGCGATAAAAGTAATCGTTATGCGGAAAAATCGCTATGCGATGCCATCGTTATGCGGGGGTCCACTGTATTGGTAAATAACATGTATTTATTTATTTATTTATTTATTTATTTATATACAATTTGAGCACACATACAGAGGTACAAAAAAATACAGATAAGAGCAGCATGCCAAAGCCACTTATACTATGCATAGCATTATGGGCTGGCTTAAAATTAACTTAAGATTAACTAAGCAATGATGAAATCAGTGATAAAACATTAATGTAAACAGATTACTATAAAGCACAAGTGAGTATTACTAAGACAGGTCATATGGTTGCTTGCATTGTTGTACATTCAGTCGTATGGAGTATTCTGTTAGGTAGTGTATTTAAAAAAAAATAAAGTTAGATTGGGTTTTAGGTTTAACATTTATGTGATATAATTGTGAGAAACATTTAAGATATACAATTTATAAGGTTCAGTTATTCAGTATTTATTTGGTTTTGGGTGAGTAAGTGATCTTTGAGAAGAGACTTGAATTTATAAACAGGTAGTGTTTCTTTTATATTTACAGGTAATGAATTCCAGATTTTAGGGCCTTTTATGTGCATTGAGTTTTTGCATAGTGTGAGATGGACACGAGGAACATGAAAGAGTGATCTGTGCCTTGTGTTATGGTCATGTGTTCTGTTGAGGTTGGCAAGGAGATGTTTGAGGGGAGGGTTAATATCAGAGTTAAGTGTTCTATGTATGTAATAGGTGCAGTAATGGAGATGGGAAGTACAGTGCCTGCACTCTGAAGGAGGGGTGTTAATGTTGCAGTTTAAAAACTGTAGTGTAAAGCACCCTTCTGGCAAGACAGTGATGGAGTGAATGATGGTGAAAGTTTTTCTTTTTCGGGCCACCCTGCCTTGGTGGGAATCGGCCAGTGTGATAATAAAAAAAAAATAATAAAAAAAATAATAAGTATGGATGTTTTGTATGGTGAGTAGGTTTAATGTATTGAAAATTGGTGGAGTGTGCTGCCTGTAGTGAGAATTTGTTATCATTCTAACTGCAGCCTTTTGTTGGGTAATTAGTGGTCTGAGATGGTTAATTGTTGTTGAGCCCCATGCACAAATTCCATAGGTGAGATAGGGGTAAATAAGAGAGTGATATAGGGCCAGGAGGGCTGACTGTGGAGCATAATACCGTATCTTCGTTAGTATGCCTACAGTCTTGGAAATTTTCTTAGAGATTTGTTGTATATGTGTATGAAATTTGAGTCTATTATCAAGGTGGATTCCTAAGAATTTTCCCTCTGTTAGCTTTGTGATAGGTGATCCATTTATCATTATGTTAAGAGGGACATCTGTATCTCTGTTACCAAACTGAATGAAGTAGGTTTTGTCAACATTTAGTGTAAGTTTGTTAGTCCTCATCCAGGTAGATATTTTCTGTAATTCGGTATTTACAGTATTGGCTAGCGTGACTGGGCTCAGGTGGGAGAAGACGTATGTAGTGTCATCTGCAAATAGTGTGGGTTTGAGTAATTGCGAAGCATTTGGTAGGTCATTTATGTATAGGAGAAAGAGAAGAGGGCCAAGGACACTTCCCTGTGGGACACCAACTGTAATTGGTTGTGCAGAAGAGTTTGCCCCATTTGCGTACACATATTGGCTTCTGTTGCTGAGGTATTACTTGAGGTAGTTGAGGGAGTGCCCTCTTATACCATAGTGTGACAATTTTACGTGGAGCAAGTCATGGTCAACTGTATCAAAAGCTTTATGTAAGTCAATGAAGATCCCCAGTGGGACTTCTTTTTTCTCTGTTGCAGTGTATATATGTTCTAGCATGTGTATAATAGCATCATTAGTATTTTTATTAGGCCTGAATCCAAATTGGCAGGGGTTGAGTATGTTTTGGGAGATAAGGTAGGAGTAGATTCGTTTATGAATTAATTTTTCGAAGATTTTTGAGAGAGGGTGTAAGTTGGATATTGGCCTATAGTTATTCAACTCTGTTTGGTCACCTCCTTTGTGAATCGGGGTGACCCTTGCTATTTTGAGTACTGTAGGGAAGGTGGAGGATTCAATGGATTTGTTAAAGAGTGTTGCAATGATTGGTGATAGCACTTGTGACACTTTTTTGTATATAAAGGGTGGTAAGGTATTTAAATCTCCTGCCTTGTTTTTTAGTGCGTTAATAATAAGGGAGACTTCATATGGGTTAGTCGGAGCTAGGAACAGTGTGTTCGGGTAGTTGCCGGTGAGGTAGTCATTTGGTGGGGTATCTGAGCTTGGGATTTTATTGGCAAGGTTTTGTCCTATAGTGGAGAAGAAATCATTGAGTCTGTTTGCTGTTTCTGTTGGTGGGAGTTGGGGTTCATCTGATTTTGCTAATTTTATTTCGCTATTTCGTGATATCTTTTTTGTTCCCAGAATTTCTGATAGGGTTTTCCAGGTCTTTTTTATATCACCTCTTAAGTTGGATAATCTGTTCTCATGATACAATTTTTTTGCCCTTCTTATCAGGCTGGTTAGGATTGACGAGTAACGTTTTGTTTGGTCTCTGGTTATGTGACCCATTCTGTACTGTTTTTCATATTGGTGTTTTGTATTTATGGATTTGAGAATGCTGGGTGTTAGCCAGGGACTGTTCAGTCTCTTAGCTGTCATCTGTTTAGTTTTTTTAGGGCAGTGCTTGTTATAGAGGTATTGGGTCTTTTTTATAAAATTATTAATACATTCGTCAATATTTGTATAGATTTCTAGCTCAGTGTGCCAGTCAATGTTTGCTACTGCTGTTGTGAAGTTATTAATGGCTGCCTCATTGTGAAGTCTGAAGGTGACTTTAGTAGTGTCTTGGGGTAGTTTACCAAGAGTTGTTATGAGGAAAGTAGGGTAGTGGTCTGTGGTATTATCTGTAATTATGCCTGATTTTAAAGGGGATATGGTGTTGATCAAGAAATTTATTATGGAAAACGTTTTGCCATTAGGGGCTTCTTTAGTGCTATTACAGAGAAGCTAAAATGGGCATCTACTATTTTTGTAGGATTTCATGGTCCTGTGGGTTAGAGCGTCATGTGTGATTTTCGCTCACCATGAGGCGGGCAAAAACTACATGAGTTCAAATCCTCGGCTAGTTGCAGTGTTGTTATTGATTAATACCACTTGTTCATGGTTACAATAATATATATATACTGCTTGTGAGGTTAGTACACCAAACAGGGAGTAGAATGAAATTAGCTCAGAGGCACCCACACTACTGTATGCCCTCGGATCAAGATAAAACACTTAGCTCTGCTGGGTGCTTGATTTTTGTAGGATTGTGTGGTCCCGTGGGTTAGAGCATCATGTGATTTTCCCGAAAAGTTTTGGAATAAAGTTGCCTAACTGTTGCCCATGTGTCTTACCTACCAAGCTGTTGCTATTGTATACCATTTTAATATTCACTCTGTCAGGCACTGCAACACAAGGGCATCTTGGTACAGAAGAGAAAACACCTTGGACAGCCTTTTCAAGTGAGAATTGTTGGATTTGAGAGGGACGTGACCTTTCAGTGACTATATTCTCTCTACTACCACCCTGCACGTCTCCTTCAGACAGTATATAAGTCTCCACACTGTCGCTTGTTCCTTCAGAATGTTTCAGACTATGGAACAGAACTCTTCTCCAGGCTGAGGGACTGACAACCTCAAATCTTCAACTTCAAGGGTGATGGACTCATTACATCGTCTTCACATCTCTACTGCTCCTGCCTTCTTTTGTTCTCGACTGAAGAATCCTACTATGTAGGTGAAACGTTTCAGAATAAAGTTGCCAAACTGTTTCCTATGTAAAGTAATGTCCATTATATTGTTTCCCATGTGTCTTACCTACCAACCTGTTGGTACTGTATACCATTTTAATATTCACACTTACCTTTATTGAAGGCTCTTGTTAGTGTATGGAAGATGGGAGGAGGAGAGAGGATTAATGTGATGTTCCTCCACAAATGTTTGCACTTCACTCCACTTTGCACAAATGTCCTTAATCTTCGAAGAAGGCACCTTCTTCCCTCTCTCTTTCTCCTCTGAAGCAGTTTCCTCAGCAGATGTACATAAGAACATAAAGCAGGAACACTGCAGCAGGCCTGTTGGCCCATACTAGGAAGGTCCTTCACAAACCATCCCACTAACAGAATCGTATTTGCCCAACCCAATTTTCAATGCTTCCCAAGCAATAAGCTTAGATAATTCTATTCACTCATGTGCAAGTCCCACTCAAATCAAATCGTGTGTGTGGGGAAGTACCCTGTCTGGTGTGTGGGGAAGTACCTTGTCTGGTGTGTGGGGAAGTACCCTGGCTGGTGTGTGGGGAAATGCCCTGGCTGATGTTTGTGGGTGAGTACCCTAGGTGGTGAAAGTTAAGACACTTGTGCAACATCTGCTTATCTTTATTGTAGACGTTTCACCATCCAGTGG